GCCCTCTCTGGGCTAAACTCGGGGACTGGAGCCCTCTCTGGGCTAAACACGGGGACTGGAACCCTCTCTGGGCTGGACTGGGAAATGGGAGCCCACTCAGGGCTGGACGGGACCTGCGGGGACGAAGGAGAGAGGAGAGGGGGCAAGTTGGCTTCCAGCTCTGTTTCCCAGTCTATAAGATCCCCCTCGAAGTCCAGTAGTCCCAGCTGTATAATCAGCTCCCCCTCAGCCGCGGTGCAGTGGGCGGAGCTCCACTCCGCGCTCTCTCTGTCCGCGGCATTCTCCCTCGTGGCGGGCTCTGTTGCCGGCTCTCGCACCTTGACTGACGTCACTTGCAGCTCCGGCTCTGCGGCGATCCATTGCTCTGTCGCTCCATGCGGCAATGGCTCGTCGGCCGCGGCGAACTTGGGCTCTCTGTCAGCGGTGGGCTCTAGCATGCGCTCCACGCAGCAGGGAGATGGTGGGCTGGGCACTGGGTCCGGGGTGGCACTGGCGAGATCCCCCTCGGGACAGACGGTGAACGGGGATCCGTGTCTGGCCAGTGTCCACTCCACAAATGCGGCGAAATTCGTTCGAGGGCCTTCCTTGGACGACGGCGCTCTGTACGCGAAGTTTAAACTGGCGTAGTAGAACGCACAGAGCGCGTCGTCCGGGTAGCTGGAGAGGTTGGCAAGGACCAGGAACAGTCTGGTGTAGCCCTCGAGCGATTTTCCCCCCTGCTCCAGCAGGAGGAGGAGGTATTCAGGGCGAAAGAGGGGATCCATGGACACAATGGAAAAAAAACAAAAATGAACAAATACTGTTTTGGTCTGGTATTCTGTCACAAATGCTACTGTGAGAAGCACGGAGCGATGAACGAGGAGATGTGGAGTAAACTTCTAACAAACAGACTTTAATTAACATCCAACGGAACTAGGAACACACATGTAGTGGGGAAATATGAACATTCAATACCAGACAAACTCAGAAAGCACAGACAGGACCTTAAATACATGGGGTAATTGACAACACACACCTGAAAATAATGAAACAATTAACATGGGAAAACTGGGTCATGGAGCACGTGGAGAGGGAAAAACACACAGAATGAGTCCAGGGGCGTGACAATAGCATACAGCAAGTCTTCTTCTTATTCAATATAAGCATATTGTTGTGAAACCATTTTTGAACCAAATTAAAATCATATTGTAAAGAATTGTGGATTTGCATGGAATCAGAATTAGTGGTGTAAATAACAGTGTCATCAGCATAAAGATGTACAGAGCAATTTAAGCATATTTGAGATAAATCATTAATAAAAATAGAAAAAAGTAGTGGACCCAGAGTAGAGGAACACCTTGAGGAACACCTTTTTCAACAATCGAATAATCAGACTGAAAATCTTGGAATACAACATACTAACGCCTGTTGTGCAGATAAGCATTAAACCAAAGAAGAGCATTTCTAGTTAAACCAATGGAAGACAAATTATCGAGAAGAAGGTAATGATTGACCATATCAAAAGCCTTTGAAAGATCGATGAAAATGTCACTTGTGGCTTGGCCTTTGTCAAAGGATGAGAACACACCATTTGTGAATTTTAAAAGGGCAGTAGTAGTAGAAAAGTTGGGTCTGAAACCAGACTGAAATGGCAATAGAGTATTAGGTGACCTCATATAAAGAGATAATTGTTTAAAAATAAGTTTCTCAAAACTTTTTGTAATAGAACAAATAATAGAAATTGGACGATAATTGTTCACATCGGATGAATCTCCACCTTTGAACAGAGGAATAACTCTTGCACATTTCCATATAGAAAAAACAGAAGAAGTTGACAAAGACAAACAGAAATTACAAAGTATATTAAGTAATATCACTGCAATTTGGCCAAAGGCATAATATTTGAAATATTACATGATTGCGAGTATGACATTGCTTTTATACAAGTCCTTGGCAAGAACCGTCATACTGTACAATCAGATAACACCTTAGTCTTTTCTTTAAAAAATAAATCAATAAATAAATATATAAATAAAAATATGTATTATATGTAGATAGTATTACATTCTAATGTTTAATATTTGAAACAACCCAATCAATTAATTAAACTTAGTAAATTGAAAAAATCTTAGTATTGAGAATTTAAGACAAGTTGTGTGTTATCCTAACTTTAAGAAGTTATTTACAATAATTTTTAAGAACATTATTTTCATGAATTTAAAATATTCTCAAGTTTAGTCTTTAGAACAATCCATAAGAACATTCTGGTTCTTAGAGTGTTTTTGGGAATACAAAATATTTGTACCTTTACACTTAGTTTAGAAAATAAGAAAAAAGTTAAGAAATTAAAAATTATTTTATTTATAAGAATGTTTTGTGAATCAGCACGAATTAAGTGAATGATTCAATCACTTGTTTGACACAATGGCAACATTCATTGTGTTTTTCCTGAATGAATTAGCACATTTGAATAAATCCTTTGATTCACTCAAAGACACTTGCTGTTTTCTGTGTATATATTTATAATACTTTTTGACTGATATGTGACCTATGACCACTCAGATCTCATTTGCTTTATACCTGCAAACATAGAATCTGCAACTACTGAATAATGTGTTTACCCAAAGGTCATATAGTAGTCATGTTGCACAACAGTTTCCCTTTCCATACTTTACCCTTCTTTCAATCTCCGTCCCCGAGTTATCCTTCACCTTGCCTCTGTCTCTTATACCTTCTTTCGTCTTCTCTATCACCCTTTTTAATCTCTGATAAAGTATTCAGTTTCCCCTCCTTGCCCCCTCCCCCTCAAAGGCCCTACGGAGGCTTAAACGGTGGCTGTGTTGAAGGGGATGGATGAACTGAGTGTGATGGTGTTTATTATGATGAATGGGCTGCAGTCTACAGATCAGCACCATGTGCAGACTGAGAGATGATTCACTCTGACAGCCATGTCATGTAGCCTAATACAGTTATACATCCATATAACAGAGAGAGAGAGGAAAGATAAAGCGAGAAATAATTAAATTTAGAAACTGCCCAATGATCATTGTGAAATGGACAAGTTAAATCTCTCATTAATATTATTATTAATCCATCCTTGTTTGTTTTTAATGAACTCTAATTGACAATCTATAAGGTACTGACTGTTGTCTCATGCAGGTCAGTTACCTGTGCCTAAAGATATAATTATTTTAAACTTTAACTTCACTGACCTGATTTTCTTGTTCGTTCCTATGAATATGCCCCTTTCTTTAGTGGATCAGGCCTGAGGGAGACAGGGGCATGTATGTTGTACACTAACAGTAGAGACTACCAGATCCTGTCATACATCAGTGCATAATTATACCAGAGGCCCTATTACTGGTGCAAAGGCAGATTTGTGATCTGACATAAAGGGAGATGGCTGTATTAATCGGGATGGTTAAACAGGATGTCGCTAGTTTACCAAGCTCATAAGATGTCACTTATCTGATTTAATAAGCTACAGCATAGATCCATGCTTCATTCACTTTGCAATGTGAACTCTTTCTGTCAGTTTTAAAAATCACACTAGCCTTTAATTGAAAATTGGTTAGTAAGGGTACATAAATGTAAGCATAATTATTAAAAAAATGTTAAATAATAACTATTAAAACTAGATATTTACATTCTCAGAACGTTCTGGGAATCACAAAAATTGTTAGCTGGGTTACTGCAATGATTCATTCTGTATTAATTCGCAAATCGACCAGTTCTGATACTAAACTGACAGAAAACACACATGACATGAACGCTGAAATATTGTCAGGAAAATGATTCTCAGGTCTCAGATCTAATCTCAATTGTTAGTCAGTAAGTGATATTAGTAATATTTTAATGTATCATTAATAGTGTACTGAGACAGTATTTCACTAAAGTCTAGCGATGCACCTGGTGGTAAGGATTTTTAAGTGTTCTGCAGATTACATTGATACGCTAATAGCTGGTGACAAGTGAATCACTTTAAAAGGGATTAATTAAACCATGTATTATAGAGGTTTCATTTAAACCACTGATTAATGAAGGAACATTAATGCATACTGCTTGGAGATGAACAATGGTCAATTCTATTTTGGCTTCTTTAGGAACTTTTTTCATATGTGGAACAAAAATACAATCAGCAAATGGTAACACTACCATCTAAAATGTAAATATTTCTTGTTTATTAAACTATATAAAAGCAAATATCGCACTTGTGCTAGGAGTCTGACTACCAGCTGAATCAAATCTGTGCTTTATTATTTGCCATTGTTTTATTTATTTCCATATAGAAACTCAGGACACACTTATGTGTTGACATCACTATAGGACGTTTTTCAGTTTTAACCTGGTTGTTAAATCTGACGTCACACGTCGCCGTTTCCGGATCCAAACACTCAATCAGATCTCAAAAACCAACATTAAATAGTGCTACAATCACAGTGCTGTAGTACAACCAAAAATGATACTAACCTTTATCTCCATAGCAAAATCTTAGTTGGCCAGACAGTGATTATTTATAAAAAATGTTAAAATATTGGTGTCTGAGACACTGTATTTTTTTAAAGCATAGTTGAGATCTTGGAGTAAAGATTTGGACCCTCAAATATTCTCACAACTTAACAAGCCGATAAAAAGGTTAAAGCCTAGTTTATGGAACAATTATAGATGAAATTGCTTCATAAGGGGTTGTGGTGATTGGAACGAGTCACTGAGAAGTCAGATCAATAAACTCTTCCCTATGGAGTTGATCCTATTCATGCTAGAAATGCTCTTTTTATCTTTACAGGTCGCGACCTGGCCAGCACCACGCTCCCTGGTTACCCTCCTCATGTTCCTCCAACTGGGCAGGGTAGTTACTCCACACCCTCCCTCACAGGGATGGTACCTGGTGAGTCTCACTTGCATATATGCATGCCAATCAATTGTTAACTCCATCTACACAAACTTCACATACACAGAAACAACTATTTTAAGTTCCCATCATACTAGGTTGAGTTCTTTTGATTTTTTTTTGCATACTTCTAAAGAAGGGAGTGTCGATGAAAATAACAGATAGGCTAATTTTCATACATGTGCCACCCTCATTCTTTCTCTCTCATCCTCTCCCGCTCGTCCTGCTGTAGTCACTCTCCCAATACCCCCTTTTCACCTCTGTTTTATTTCAGTTGAGGTCCCAGTGGGAGGGGGACTTGTCTTTGCCACTTCCTGTCTCCCCCCATCTGCCAGGTTGACAGCACTCCCAGGGGGTTATGGGATGGGGAAGGGTGGGGGGTGTTGGGTGGTTGGCAGAGTGTGGGGCGGGTGGCCTGGCTTTGAGTCTTTAGCTGGAGTGGCTGGACTATTAGACCCCAGTCACACAGCTGTCCCTTCTCAACATCAGTAATTTGTTTTTAATGAGAATCATCGCTGACCCTTGACTAATTCATTCATTCTCCTGCAGACTCCCTCGGCCTCCTTTCTTTGAGCTATTTTTTTTTTATCTGCAGGCCACTTCAGAATTAAACAAATACAATGAATTCTCACCAAGATATTCATATTCACAAACACAATAGCATGTAAATGGCTTTGAACACTGTTCACCTAGATACACACAGTATGTGACTTAAATAATACTACCTCATTAATTTTTTCTTAATCCAACATCATCTGAAACATTACCCCCCATGGGTTAAAGGTTTTAAGTTCATTCATTCTCCTGCAGACTCCCTTGGCCTCCTTTCTTTTAGCTATTTTTTAATCCATAAGCCACTTCAGAATCACCAAAAAATACACATGAATTCTCACCAAGATATTCATATTCACAAACACAATAGCATGTAAATGGCTTTGAACACTGTTCACCTAGATACACACAGTATGTGACTTAAATAATACTACCTCATTAATTTTTTCTTAATCCAACATCATCTGAAACATTACCCCCCATGGGTTAAAGGTTTTAAGAAACATGTTGTTCGCGGAACTCTGACGATTTTATCAGTAAATTAGTTTAGCAACTTAAAAGCTACATGACATTTCTCACTAACGAGGTAATAACGGCACTGTTCATGAAGCAGATGAACTTACAGTTTTGCTATTAGTAGAGGCGCTGCTGAACAAAAACCAGACGAATGTCTTCATCTGAACAATGTTTTGAGGTGTGGTAACTGTAGTATAAGCGGAATAATTTACTCCTGTCCATTGAATTATTTGAAAATAATGTACACCCAAGGTGTAATGGCCACTCCGCTTTGCGTTGTATTAATTCAATGGCCCGTCATCAATTATTCCTTACATATTTCACCAATTTTATATTCTAACCAAAATATCTTCCAAAAATATATTCTATCAGTAAGCATCGTTAGGGAGCCTTTGAGTTCCTGTGAGCTCCTTTAAGAAAACAGAGTTTGTTTATGATTACTACTATAGTGATTTTCAAGTTGAAATTGTGTATAAAGCATAACAGTGACTGTTAAAAATGTGTTTTAGGTTTTTAGGAATGGGAGTCGCATTTTGAATTTTAATATTTGGGATAGGGTCATTGAGCTAGTTTTATTACAGAAACCTGGCAACCTTGGTTAAGGGCTACTTGCTTTTTTACGCTTGTCCATCACATTTGACAGTTATGAATCATATTTTTGGTTTAATGTCATATTATTTAGGGTCACTGCTAAATAGTAGTAGAGGCTTGAAAAAAATAGAGGCTTGTCTGACACCCTGCAGTATTTCAGTGTCTTGAAATATGTGGTTAGTTATCAAGTGATTAGTAAAATTTTGGGCCTAACAGATGTTTTATAATTGGAGTTGAACTTATTTTTTTTATGTTTATTAGAATGCATTTCTGAAAGAAGATGATGCACAATATGATTCACAATACACAAAAAAAGTAGAATATACAGTATATGGATCCACAATCTGGTTATCAGTGGATATCGGCGTTTAAAAAAAAAAGTATTATTATGCAGTATTGGCTGCTAAATGATGGTTTAAATCTTAAATGCAACAATAAAAAATGCTTTAATAAGTTATATCTCTGGACCAAAACAGTTGACAGATTAATGTGATAACTTGTTGTTGCGATGAGCGCAACAGATTTATTTACCTCAGAAAGTACATGGATTGTATTTCATATTGCATTTTTATTCATCTTGATTTTTCACAACTTGTGTGAAGCATAGAAAAATGGAAAATGTACTGGTAATTTTCTGCCAAAATTTTACAGACATTTCTTTTAACCCTAAAATACAACACAATGCAATGTGTGATTTAAAATATGCGGAAAACACCTATGAAAAATCCATTTGAAAAATAGCTTTATATTAACACTACACTGTGCTTTATTTTTACGGACTTTCCTTACTTTAATCAACTACTATTCTTGTTAAATGTGGCTTACCAACTAGCAAAATTATAACTATGATGAAAAAAGCAAAACTTGAAGGAGGGATTTGCTTGCTTAGCTTCAGTATCAAGTGCAAGGTAACACAAGTGGATACAAGTGGAAACTCTTGTGTGACAAGACAAATAGAGTGGTATAAAAAAGCAAGAACTGTGGGATGAAGGACTGTTCACCAACCCTTTGTATCAACTCCCTGAACACAGCAAAACAAACCCAAGCCAAAACAACAACAACAACAACAACATGTCTCTTGTCGTGTCTCCAGTCTGTCACGCTGGTGTCTCTTTCGATGCTCTCCCCGGTTGCCACCGTGACTCAAAGGGTCTTGTCGGGTCCCCTCTCTTCAGAGCAAGATCTGTAACCTTGTCTCGTATTTCCCTCCAACTGAATCCCCCATGTTTCCCCCACTTCTGACAAGCATTTATGACCTTGCAACCCATCTCTCTCGCTGGGGAGACCCCATCCCTCTTTTCTTCTCCATCCATAAGTCATTCCCCGCACTTTCACCAGCATCTTCCCAAAACAACCTGACATGCGGTAGTCGCTGTGGTGCGCAGAGTTGACGGAGGGGAGGTAACCATGCCAACGATCCCATCTAAAAGCATGCTGAAGGTTAAGGGTAGGAGCAAAGCTCCAGACATGCACTTTAGATTATCCTACTTCATTTACCTTCAACTATTGCCCTGTTTTCAATTGTCTGTGTTTATGATGATACATGGGAATTGATTAAATTCAGCATAAAATATAAAAATGAAAAACACTTCAAGCTTTACTCTGACAGCAAATATTTAATGAATCATGTTGCATTAATGTATCCATATTATTTTATATAATATACAGTATGCATGAACTTTTTTATATCCATTATATACTAGATATGAAATAATGTAAAATTACATAAAATATAAAGTTAATTTTTAATTTGACAACACAAAGCTAAAAGTGATAAATGCCACACTACTGTTCAAAAGGTTTGGGTTAACACTTTTTTTTTATGTTTTGAAAGACTATTATTTGATCAAAAATACAGTAAAAACAGTAATGTTGAGAAATATTATTAAAGTTTTAAATAACATTTTCTAATTAAATATATTTTAAAATGTAATTTATTCCTGTGATGGCAAAGCTGACTTTTTAGCTGCCATTACTCCAGTCTCCATTATTCAAGTATTTCTTGTTTCTATATTTTATATTTTATATATTATTTCTATACTGTCACTTCTTCAGCATTAATGCATTAAACTGGCCAAAAAAATATCATATCACATACTGTATGCTTTGAATTGCTGTTATTGTTTCATATTGTGCTTTTAGTGTGAACAGTCCAATTATTGCTAGAAACCTGGAAACCATGTGTTGTATTACTCTCATTCTGTGCAGTTTTGTTGCTTGCTGAAAAATCTTCACTTTTTCTATTTCACTGACTTTTTCCTTCATTCTCTGTACAAACAATCAATACAATCAGTCATACAATGCTTACATTCTCTTAAATGAGATCAGATTAGCTTTTGCTGCAGGCTATTTTAAGGAACAATACATATTGTGTTGTTGCTTTAAATAAAAAGTTTTCAAATTAAGTTCACTTCAGTTGTGGTTAGGTGCAATAAATACAAAATTATGAAAACTTGTTCTCTCAGTTGTCTTGAAATAATGTGCCTTAAAGGTGTAAACACAATGAAAATTCTGTCATCATTTATGGAAGCCAATTTCTACCTCATAGTAAAAAAAAAATCTGCATTTGAACAGCTTGCATTTAAACAGTTCCTTTGAGTATGTTCATTTTTTATTTTAATGATATAAAAGTACAAAGAAAGATGATATTTATTGGCTGAACTGCTTCAAGTGCTTATTTACAGCTCTCAGAAATTATAGACTTCACTTTCACTTTTATGGAAAATTGATTACTAGTGCTTTTTCATTTTTCACTATATCTCCTTGATCCTCTTCCTGCACTTTATCCCACAGTGTATCGCTTATTTCTCCTCTCCTTTTCCTCCGTTCTGTTGCTTTCTCTCTTTCAGCAGGGGGGCTGACACACAGGGGAGGGGGGCACAAAACCAGCCAGGCAGAACCGACAGAGCGAGAGATGGAGGGAAACAGGAACCTCTGCAGATGAACAGCGGCGGGTCAAGAGTGAAAGGGCAAAGGTCAAGCTGTTCAGTTAGAATGAAGAGAGAGAGAGAGAGAGAGAGAGAGAGAGCCAGGGCCTCTGATTTTGTGACAGCCAGCAAAGGGAAAGTGTTCCCCGGGGAAAGAGAGAACGAGGGAAAAGAGGGAGAGAAAGAAAGAGGGAGATAAGGGGAAAACTACACTGAAGCAATGGAGGAGAAAAACTGTCACAAATCGACACTTCCACCTCGCCAATTGGACCTTTTAGGCCCATACACACTACATACGCAGTATAGGATGTACTTTCAAATGGAAGAGTTAGAGTAACTGTACATTCATATCCAACATTTTTCATTGTCTTTTCTTGAATTTCAGGAGGAGATTTCTCTGGCAGTCCTTATTCCCATCCGCAGTATTCAACATACAACGAGTCTTGGAGATTTGCAAACCCCAGTCTACTAGGTAAAAGCTTGAGCTGAAAGCACAAATATATGGACAGTGATGCAGAATACTTGCTCTCTTAATGCTTTTAAATATATAATAATGTGTTAATGTGCCTTAAAAGGAACAATTCAACCAAAATGAAAATTGTCATTATTTACTAATTGTCATTAATTACTTTCTGCATCAGAAAAACAAAAAGATAATTGTGACTTTATCTCCCGATTGTGATTTTATATCTCACAATGTAACTATTTATCTCCCAACTGCAACTTTACATCTCTTCATATGTAACAGTTACAACTTTATATCTCACAGTTAAACTTTTATTGCAATTTAAACAGTTTGTCCTCATCTGCAATTTTATATTCCATTCGCCAAATTTGAACTGGTGCCAAATTTGCAAGAACCAATGTATGTAAATTCGATTTCAGGGTTTCAGTGAAGGAGGAAATTACTCACGCAAAGCTTTTGTATAGCTTATATTTACTGTCCCATTCAAAAAAGTAATTAGTAATTGAAAGTCATTGAAAGACAGTAATTATTCAGCAAGGATGCATTAAGTTAATCAAAAGTGACACTAAAGACATTTATAATGTTACAAAAGATTTCTTTTTAAATAAATGCTGAACTTTTTGTATTAAACAAAGAATCCTGAACAACTATATCCAGGTTTCAACAAAAAGTTTAAAGCAGCACAACACAACATTGAGTGTGTTTACATGCACCCTTATAATGCCGTTATAATGGGATTTTTGGTAATATTGCAATTAAACTTTACCTTATGTAAACACAATACTTTGATCAAAATAGTGAGATTAAGCTCATAATTGTAGCAAGCATAATCGTATTTAAATATGTGGCGTATGCCAATTTTTAATCATGTTATTACAGCTCTAAACAACATACACATGTGCTTGCCTTGGACATACACGGATGCCGTGTGTTGTTCACACAACTTCATAAATGAACTCTGTGACATTATTCTGAAGCAGGCCTGGATCTATTCGGGTGCTAGAGGATGCTAAACACCCTCGAATGAAAGCAAGAGCACCCTTAGTTGAGGCTGTAAAAATAGGATATTGGCAAAACAGATTTGGTAAACACTCCAGTACGTATTCATGTTTGCGCTCAGGAGAGCTTCAAAGGTTTCTATTTACAACGTGTTTTTAAGCATTGAGCAATATAGCCAATCACAGACATATTGGTTGATTTCTTGAACGCAATGGCCAATCAGAGGTTTTTCAGTTCAAGCGTCCCTTCACTGTTCAAAACGCTGCATTTTTGTTCTGCAAGCTCACGTTAAATCCTCCCATTATATTGAAGACACAATGTAAATAATAGATTCATTGTGCATCATAGAGAGGAGATTCATGGATTATAACAGAACTTTGTGTGATCGCAACATTACAATGTTCATCACGGAGCTGAATAACCTTCCAATAGCCTATGTCTGTAGTCATGTTTTACATTTGTTGTAAGTGGCCAGTGGCCAGTAACATGCCTAATATGTGAGTTCATCGTTTGTGTTGTGGGGTATGCGAATAATGATGGTAAAACCAACCACACTTCTTGGAAACATGAAAAAAAGAACATGATTACACGTGGGGTAAATAATAACAGAATTTTCGATTTCTGTGTGAACTAGTTATTTAAGTAGAATAAATGCATTGATTTAGAATACTTTATAACGGATTCATTTATAGTCACATTTCTAAAATAACCTAATTTACTGTGAATGATAAACTTACTGATTTAAGTTGTTGTATGTGTGTGCACTTTGCAGTGTTCCAGCAGGAGTACGGTTCTTTACTGGGCTCGGAGAGAGCAGCTTCATCGGGTCTATTCCCTGGCCAAACCCCACAACCTACAGGTACATTACACCCATGCTATCAGAGGGGGATGTGTGGGTGGTTTGATGTTTGAAACATTGTCGGGTTGGCTTGCCATATGTGTATGTATGTATGGTGCACTGCACAGAATGAGCGGTTCAGAAGAACCTGCCCCCGATCAGCAAAACCTCAGACTGACACACCAGTCAAAAGCAAGGTGAAGGGGCATTGGCTTAAATATAGTTCTATGTGTGTAAGAGAGAGCCACAGAGCTGACCTTAATGCTCCCAATGGAGAAGGGATTCCTTGGAGATTTCATGAGCTTTTTGCTTTGTGTGTCAAGAAAGAGACCCTGAACTGACAGACGCTTGACAGTGTTTCTTTTTAAGTGGGAGAACTTGCACAATTGGTGGCTGACTAAATACTTTTTTTCCCCACTGTATATATATATATATATATGGATTAAAACATTTCCACTGTAGATTCAGAATCTTTTAGTATGTAAAACATGAATGTAATGCTTTAAGAATTTAATAATTTTTATAATACAAGTCATAGTAGTAAATTATATTTACCTACATACAATTAATTGCTGATTCAGAGTGTTTACCTGATTTAGGGGCCGTTTACACGACAACGTTTTCGGCCAAAAACGGGAAAAATTTTATACGTTTTGCCTGTTCGTTTACACGACAACAGCGTTTTGGGGACTGAAAACGCATATTTTTGAAAACGGGTTTCAAAGTGCAAGTTTTTGAAAACGCCACCGTTGTCGTTTCCGTGTAAACACATACAGGAATCTTTGAAAACGGTAATGTCATGCGCATACGTAGTACGTGTTAGGTATGTAGACATGCGCAGCACATGTCGATTTTAAAGGCAATCGCGAACAAACATACACAACAATGATGGAGTACATGGTACTGTTGTTGCTGCTCAAGAGTTTGCTAACACTTCTTCAGCAAAGTGTGGATTTACTTCACCAATTTTACAACCAACAGCGGAGACACATCATATAATCGTCACTTCCCTACAGGTACTGTTTACTAACAAGGTGACAGCGCCAACTACTGGCCTGGCATACGTAATACAGTGTTTTGGCCGTTTTCGCGGATATGTGTAAACGCGAATCGTTTTGAAAACGTTGTGTAACGTTATACGTGAAACTTTTTAAAAACGCAAGGGGAAAACTTTTCCGTTTTTGACTACATCGTTGTCTTGTAAGCGTGGCCTTAGTTAAACATAACTGGTTAACAAAAAAATTGAAGTTCAAAGCAGAAGTGCCACTGAAATTTCTCTGCCTTAATGCTCTCTTCTTAGTTGTGAGACAGTATTTATTTCCTGAAAACGCTAGTTAATGTTTTTGTATTGAGCTAAAAAAAACTACTAAATTTGCTCACACGGGGTATAACAACTTCCCCCCAAATTTATCATTTTTGTAATTTCTTTGGATTTCTTTCCCACATTGTTACACCTGTGGTGTAAAAATTTCTTATACATTTTTCATAATACTATATTATTACCAAATATTGGATTCAATCTTTTTGTCAAATGAAATCTTTCAGTTAGCACAGGTTTTGTATTTCTTTTTGGAATTTAATGGTAGTATAGGTCTCATTGATCTGAGCTTATGCATCTCAGATTTTGAGTGAACATTGCCAAAATTATCCACAAATAATGATTTTTCACTCAAAAACAGTGACATCTTGATATACTTCATACTCTCAAACCCTGTTTTTACAGCAACACAAAAGCTACTTAATCACACTCACATAATCTTTATTTCAAGTGAAGACAAACACACCCATCCACCACATTTCTCACAATTTCAAACTCTTTAACTCCGGCAACAAAGACTAAGCAGCACAGCCGTCCCTCTACTCTGTTATATCCCTCGCTCATGCCCGCTGTCTCTGTGTAATTAAGAAAAATACTTCCTGCTAAAACTAACTATGATACTAAAGACATTTAATCTTTGAGGGGTCCATCAGCACTTAATGCCAACACAGACTGATCAAGATGGATCATGTGTCTTATAGAGCAGAAATGGTCTTTTCCCTGCAGAATCTGAGCTGATGATGGTGGTGTCATTTCAAATAAGATGAAGGGTGACATGATTGTGGGGGACTTGATAAATAAAAAGTACACTGGGCTGTACATCCATCATCCTGTGATCATATTTTCTTGGTAATTAATTAATTGCTTCTTATTTAGCATTTATCTTAATGTGATTTGAGATCAACAGCAGTTCAAGACCATTTTAAGTGGAGGGATAGTTATCAAATAAATACAGTGCTACAAACAGGAGTTCATATGGTTTAAAATTATATATATATATAAGGTGAAGGGGCATTGGCTTAAATATAGTTCTATGTGTGTAAGAGAGAGCCACAGAGCTGACCTTAATGCTCCCAATGGAGAAGGGATTCCTTGGAGATTTCATGAGCTTTTTGCTTTGTGTGTCAAGAAAGAGACCCTGAACTGACAGACGCTTGACAGTGTTTGTGTGAAGTGCACTATTAGGGCTTGACTATATACAGTGGGGCAAAAAAGTATTTAGTCAGCCACCAATTGTGCAAGTTCTCTTATATATACATGCATGTGTGTGTATTTATACATACCTAATAAATATACACAGTACACCCACATATATTATGTACACAAAAACATTTATTTTGGATGCGATTAATCGCAATTAATCGTTGCCCAGCACTAAATGTTACAAAAGATTTATATTCCAAATAAATGCTGTTTTTTATTAACTCATAATCATCAAAGAATCTTGAGAAAAATGTAGCAGCACATGATAATAATAATGTTTTTTTTGTTTGTTTTGTTTTTTACCGTCAAATCAGCATATTAGAATGATATCTGAAGGATCGTGTGTCACTGATTTTATTGGCTGCTGCCATCACAGGAATAAATTACATTTTAAAATATATTAAAATAGATATTCACAATATTACTATTTTTCACAATATTACTGTTTTATTGTATTTTTGATCAAATAAAAACCGCCTTGACGAGCATAAGGGACATCTTTTAAAAATATTTTAAAAATCCAGACATTTTTTCTTCTGTTTTAAAATGAGTATGTGGTGTTTAAATGTGTAACTTAAAGGCAGAGTAAGCGATTTCTGGTAGCCAATGTTGATATTTGAATCACCAAAACAAACACGCCCCTACCCCAAAAGGGTCTTGCCCCTATTTTGATAGCTCCGCCCCACATATACGTACGCAACCCAGGCAACGATTAGTTCTGTGAAACAAAGCAAAACCAATGTTACACCGTGTCTACGGACGTGAGCGGCGCGGCGCAACAAATCCCGACAGAAAACTGCTGCCGGGTTCTATTTATGACGTGCTGACACAAATTTCAAATGGTTTTCAACGGTCGTTTGATCGTGTCCAGTGTAGGCAGACTTTAGCTGTTGTAGACACGGTGTTACTCACCTATTGAGAAGAAACAAAGCAACCTCGGCGTCCGATTGCAGGCCTCCGCTCCTTGAGTTCTCTGGAAAGCTGATCCGATATTTACATGGGTCCTACTTCTTGCCTTATCGTTCTGCAGACGTTTTCCTCTTTTGTTTTTTTATCTGCCATCTCTATCTTTCTGTCGCTCGGCTCGGCTAATGTCCGTCCCATGCACTGAAAGCTCTCTCCTCCACATCACGAGTAGACACGCCCCTTATTGCTGATTGGCTACAAGTTTGTTTTGCTATTCGGCCCGAATCAGTTTTCTAAAGTGTTTTTGAAAAATCACATACCCTGCCTTTAAACTGACTTTCAAAACCTGGATTCCTTTAAATTAGTGGTTGATAACAAATTTAGAGGGTCACTGAGGGGCCTAGCTTGCTGACACATGGGCCCCGGCCTTTAGAACTCCTCCTATTTAAGTGTTCTTCTTAATCTGATGACTGACAGATTTGTTTTTTCATATCCCTTGTAGGATCTCCATACTACTATAGCGCAGCCACACGAGGAGCAGGAACGGCTGCCACAGCAACTGCCACTGCCTATGACCGCCACTGACCAGCCGGACAGAGGAGAGGAGGAATGGTGGAGGAGTGGGCCAAACAAAAAGAGGAGCGAGAACGGATTGATAGCAGCCACACAAGACTGTCTACACTTAGAAGCAAAGAAATGAAGGAGGAGCAGGAAGGAGGAAGGAGAAAGAAGAAAGAAAGAAGAGGTGACAATGTTTTCCTGCCGATTACAATCAATGGTCCAATCAGTAGCTTCAACTGATGTTTCGAATTTCTGTTGATTAGTGGAACGTATACACCCATTCACCTGTATTCCTGTGGTCTCGGCTCACACTAAATCTGTTATTGCTTTGATTTATCTTCTGTCATTAAAGCCTTGCTTATCCTATCGTCTTTGCATCTCTATGCAGTCTGTTCTTAGAGATGATCAGGTGTTGGGAGTTGGTATCAGACAATCTACTAGTGGCAGCTTGAGATGACCTACGTACGTGATTTGAGTTCATTTTTGAGTCATTTGAGCAAATGTGTGAATGTGGCGTCATAATCTGTGGCAGACTTATTGTCTGTTAAAACCATGAATTGTTTCGGAGAGAACCTAACGTATCAAGTCAACGGAGACTTAATAGAGTTGGACAGATAACTCAGGTCGGAATATTGGCATTATTTACATTAAAATTAGCCAGCGTGAAGGACAGACGCATTTCACTATTGATCACGGGATGCTTCCACTTGAAAATGTAGCATAAATACGGTAGAGCTAGGAGAGAATATACTGGAAATCAGCCCTGATGCATAAACACAAGAATACTTGAGCCCTCTGTTGTAATCTAGGAACCATTTAGACATAATGGACTCCTTATAAACCAAATTACACGATAAATGGGACTGTTTTGTGATTCGGTCATTGTGTAATATGTTGGAAAATTGCAGCATGATTTAAATGTTGTTATGAATGAGAGCATCAGTATTTTAGACTCCTCTCCTTCCTCTATGTAGATAAATACTATTTACGTATGTACAGAATACCCTTATTCAACTGTACATTAGTAAGATTTATAGCTATTTATGATGGAGAGTAATATATATAATTGTGTGTAAAAGTTTACTGCGGACAAATGCTACTACTAGCTAAAGATGTTGCCGTTGAATACGTAGCTGGTTCTCTTTTTAACCCCCCGATGTTTCATTCCAAACACAAATCAGTTGCAATTAAAAGAGCTTGCTGGCATTGAAGCACTGACAAGCTTTTGTGAAGTTGCTCCATTTTAGAAGGGGAAAACCATTAGCGATGCTACTTCCCCTAACAGGAAGTGATGTCATACTGTCTGTCCCTTCAAATCGTTTCCTTAGCCTCCCCAAAGATACTCTTCAGTAGTGGAAATAGACACTCTTAAAAGCACAAAGTGACAAATCTGTTATCCAGAAATGGCTTTTTTTGGGTCCACGCTCTTTCTCTCTGAGTGCATTTGTTTTTGATTATTCCCTTCATCCATACTGCGCCAAGACAATGCATGAGACCAAGGTGGAGGCCTTACCAAACCCTCTATGTAGCAACATCATGCTGTACATCCTTCCTGTTTGTCTGTCTGAGATATCCTGTACATCTATCACTTACAATGACAAGAGCTTTTGATATCATTATTGACTGATATATTGATATCTAACTTTAGATTCTAGTAGACGAGAAAAGACAAAAAAGTGTGCTTTATTTAGCTATTGTCTGTGATAAGTGTGTTCCCAGTTCTTAATTTTCTTGCTTTTTTTTCAATACACTGTGCATTGCTGAGTAGCTTTCGAAAAAGGAGAACACTGTAGTTTTAGTAGTGAGTCACAAGCACCAAAACTTTGATGTGAAATAAGAAAAAAATGACAAACCTATGAATATATATATATAGAAGTTGATAGTTTTTATGTTGTTGCTCTGGATTGTAAAGTAGTAATAGGATTACATTTGTTTGTAGACCATAAGTTGCACGTTATGCAACTCTAAAGAAACCCTTGATGCCATTCACCACTAATGACTACTGGTGAACTTTGACCTTTTAAACTTTTAGTCAGAGGCATTATGAACCTGAAGTACACCAGCTGAAATCAAGGACAGTGCCTTTATTTTTCTACCGAGTCATCCAGAATGACCACGTGTCACTAAATTGCAAAATTGTCTACATGACGTAACGAGATCACAGCTTGACCAACCAATCAACGAACAGATACTACACTACCCATCATTTTAGCAGCATTTTTTTTACATGCTAATTTTACAATCTAATTAAAACCCAGCAAACAAAATGGAGGCGAAATATGAAACTGAACCTATTTAATATTTAACGTCAAGTTAGAAACAATTATCCATTATAAAACATTGATCTATTATTTACAATATAAAACAGAAATCTAAAAACAGATTTAATATGGTTCAATAAATGATTTAGTCAAAATTCACATATTCTGAGACCCAACATATGTATGATGGTACATGATGGTACACTCTAAAAATGCTGGGTTGTTTCAACCCAATTTTGGGTCAAATATGGACTAACCCAACTGTTGGGTTAAATTTTGGTTACATTTTTAAATTAACTTTTTAACCCAACAGTTGGGTTAGTCCATATTTGACCCAAAATTGGGTTGAAACAACCCAGCATTTTTAGAGTGTACCATCATGTACCATCATACATATGTTGGGTCTCAGAATATGTGAATTTTGACTAAATCATTTATTGAACCATATTAAATCTGTTTTTAGATTTCTGTTTTATATTGTAAATAATAGATCAATGTTTTATAATGGATAATTGTTTCTAACTTGACGAGTGTACAATAAAGTCCTGGTAATTCCATTCTCTTAAAGGGAAAGTTCACCCAAATATATGAACCCTCTGTCATCATTTACTCAACCACATGTCATTCCAAATGGTTTCATTGGACCACACTGACTTTGATTGTATGGACAATAAAAACATGGACAATACATTTTTCAAAATGACGTCTTTTGTGTTTCACAGAAGAAAAAAAATGCATACAGGTTTGGAACATTATGAGGGTGATTTTGGGTGAACTATTTCTTCAAGCACTGAGAATGAATATTAGATTAACTGTAAAGGGATTGTCTTGTCATTCATATATATATATATATGTATATGCCATATATATATTTATATTTAAATGGACGTTCTGGGTGTTCCTGTTGGATTAAAGTAGAAAGATACAAATGAAATACACACACAGTCCTTTTGTCCTTCGTCAGGTCGTGAATATGCCACACCTCTCCATTGACATGATCAAAACCTGCTGCACCAGCAAAATCGAACACCCCTTTCTCTTTTCCCATCCCCTCTTATTTCAATTTCTTATTTCAACCCCCACCACCATTTAACTCCATTTGCCTCTCTGGTGCACCTTTAATCTGATCAGACCTTCCTAACCCCTTCCTCCAATGCCATCCGGATTAGAAATTCTACAAGTTGGCTGTTGATCACCTTTGTGAAAATTCCCCATTTTCTCGGAGAAGATTACGGTTGGCATATTTCCTGTTTTTCTATATAGGAAATATACCAATTTTATAAATATTGTTAAAAAAGCACCTCACAATATTAGCAGTTAATTATATATGCATCCATGTTTTCCTTTGCACATTTCTGTTTAAAAACATGCATTTTAAGTTACAAACAGCATGCATAAAAAAATATCTTGTTTTAGATCACTGGCAGACAAGTTCAATTAATCAGTACTATTTTTCTCATTCTCTCTTATTCACCGAAAAAAATTAGCAAAATAAATACCCGGCTTTCAATTATACCTTAAAACAAAGTCATTTACTCTCTAAATATGGTTTAGTAATGACTCCATATTTAAAATATTTCCAAAGTAAAGGCTGAGCATCATAATTGATACACATTCATCCAGTGAACAACCCCCAATTTAATGTTAGAGTCCCACTGTTTTCATCAGTTCAAATCAAAATAATATGTGAGTCAAATACTATTTGACTTCACTTCATTTTCCAAATAAGCAAATTCGGTTTACAATTCTAAAACAGGAATATATTAAGTAATGTATTGATTCTAAAAGCGGTATGTCCACATCAACATTAAAGGTTTCCCAATTTAAAAAGCAGACTTTAAAAAAATAAAAATAAAAATAAAAATAGAGGACTTGGTTATCACCTTATTGTGGCCTTCTGTGTACAATCGGAAGCTCCTTCTGTAATTACTTGCTAATAGTTTCTTTCCCAAGGGGTTCATAAGTATTTTTTACGCAGTTTTTGAAGTAAAGATGAAAGATTTTGAAGCTCGAAACGTTTTGACAAATTTGATAACAGCAATCAGTTCAATTCAAAGGAAAAAAAAAAATGTCAGACCAATAACATATCTGTAGCATCCACCAACGTTAGTGATGCTTGGTTTAAAAGTATTTTCTGGTGATCATTGCAAAAATATTCAAATTATGAAATAACCAACATGACAGAAAGATGAAGGCAACAGATGTTTGCAACGAGTAAATGAATGAACTGCTTCTTTAAGAAATGTGTATGTTTTTTATTGAATTTTCTAGTAGTAAAAAAATCTTGGTGTTTTTCTCTGCGTGTCGTGTGTTGTCTTAATATTTGAATGTATTTACTGCAGAACAAAATTTGCCAAAGATATCATGCCACTTGATTTCAATCTTTTTGGTTATTCATGACTTGTTTCTTCATTTTATTCAAATCTGTCCACAAGCTGGAAATAAATGTGATTTGATATTGATTTTCTAATGGAATTAAATTGTTATTGTTATATTATTATTGTTATTATGATGATGATTTTTGTTTGTTTGTTTTACTGTCGTTCAGGGTTATTCAATTGTCTGGCATTCCTCCTAATCCCTGATACAGGGTCATAGGCTACTCTGTGTATGTGCATATGAGTGAATGTTGTTTGTGTATTATCAATTCACGTATCTTGTAATGTGAAACTAAGAAGTAATTATTTGTAAATATTGGCCATAATTTTATTGGTTCATCAGAATAAAAGTACTTTTTTAAGTTCACAGGTTGTATTAGTATTGATCAAAGCACAACACAATTGAGCACAAATAAAGATTTTTTTTTAATGAAATCCGAGAGCTCTCTGACCCTCCATAGACAGCAATGCAACTGAAATGTTCCCAGGCCCAGAAAGGTAGTAAGGACATAGTTAAAATAGTCAATGTAACATCAGTGGTTCAACCGTAATGTTATGAATCTATGAGAATACTTTTTGTGCTCAAAGAAAACAAAAATAACGACTTTATTCAACAATTTCTTCTCTTCCGTGTCAGCCTGGAAAACACATGCATGTCATGACTCATGAATGCGCTTCGAAGACTGACATAACAAAATTTTAAGTTGAG